GTACAGTTGATAATGGATTCCTAAGGAATTTATGCATATAAGCTGCTGTTTGCCTTTGCTACACAAATGACAAATTATTATCATCATTATATGATGCAAGTACAAAAATTCAATTACAAAATAGAATTTTTTTTTTAAATCTTTCATTTGCTGTTAATTAAATGCTTTTAGAAAATTTGGTGAATTTTGTAATAATGACATTACTAAAGACAGCAGCAGTAACAACAACAGCAGAAACTAAAAAATAGATTTTTATTAAGTTTTGAGAGGGCGTTTATTCGAGGGAGGCATTTATTTTTGTTAGTGTAAATGTATATAGCTAATGAACTGCGCTAGATACACATCCGTTGATATTAGATTCATCAGTGCATGCATCTAGCTGCTTTTCTGCTACAGATATAGGCTGAATGACAATATTATCATTATATGATGCAAGCCCAAATATTCAATTACAAATTGATTTTTAAAAAATCTTACATCTGCTGTTAAATGCTTTTAGAAAAATTGTTGAATTTTATAATAATGACATTGCAAAAAACAGCTGCAACAATAACAATAATGATAATAGTTACATTATAAAAGGACAGAATAAATAAAATTCTAATAATTTTCATTCCAATAAACAGGGTTTATAATGAGATGTACAGTATATCTTACCAATATGCACTCTATTTGAGACTGAAATCTTTAATTCATTCAACATTTGAAAGAGAAACACAATTTACAATTCTTAAATATTAAAATAAAAATCGATAATATTCTGATGGTAAAAAATCTTTGTGACAAAAATAGCATTTTTAATTCACAAGTCTTCATGGCTTGATCTCAAAAAGCAAATCATTCCAATAATAACAATCATGATAAAATATTGTATGAAAACGTACCTTGGTATCCCAAATACCAGTGGTTAAATTTCTGTTTATTTGTCCACGCCTGTTGCGCAATTGCACTAATCAATGCTAAAGTCAGTAGGCCGAAAAATAAGTAAAAAATCTGCGAGTTTGTAGTCTTATCAACCATCGACTGCTTTAAGGGTGCTGAACGGGAGTTCATTAGCAACTTGCTTTCATGACCTGTGTAAATCACGACGCCATGGATCCAGTGAGTGTTCTTTAAGGTTGCACCACGTAATAGCAGTTGGTTCGGTCCAAGAGGAATCTTGCTGTTAGATAAAAAGTGGAACATGCATACATTTAAAAAAACATTAATACATATAGGGTACGTATGTATATTGGGTAGGGTATGTGCAGTAACTCCTGTGTTGTACAACAAATAGCAATACACAAAGGATTGATCTCATGAATATTAATGAGTTTAAAATCTAATAAACAAATAAATGTTTTTACCTTCAGGAACTAAACATAATACTGTATAGTATTATATTTCTGCATTTCTCTGTTGTTTTTGAAACAATTTTTCGTCTAAAATAATTATTTCAAAAATATTAGGAATAAATGGATATGCATATGGAAACTCGGGAACCCTCCTTTAGTTCTTAAGCAATCTTGACTCCTCTCAAGAATGAAGAAAAACATAATACAAAATAATTAAAATACCATACATCAGATTACTTACGTTGTTGCCTCTTCCTTTATTTTAACGTTTCCTACAAACTCATATATATGCCTGTTTGGTAGCTGACACTCGATTGACCCACTGAGGTTATAGAGTTCTTGGCAGTTTGTCATGTGAGCAGTCTGCGGCAACCCTTGACGGATCTTCAAGTTGGTTTCGCCGTCTAAATTCGCGGTCTCGATGTAACACATCGCCTGCGGTTCACTGACAAGAGATCAATTAGTGCTGTCAGTGAATGTACTGTTCTTTGATCCACCTCCAGCAAATCAGCACCACATCATATTATTACACCTGCCAACTCTCACACATAATGCACGAGTCTCACGCATAATGCGCGAGTCTCACAAATAATGCGCGAGTCTCACACATGTGCATCCACTATTCACGTCTCAAGCCTACATTGTATTACCTCACGCATCCTACACATTTTATAAAAGGTAAAATGATATACACTACAATTCATAAAAATGAAGGGGATTCTTCATTAAAATGTGAATACAGACCATATAAATGGCTTTTTCCACCACTAAAATTAAAAAAATAAAATAACATAGAGGGTGCTCTATTTTTATGATTTTTACAGATGGCACTATATACAAACCAAACAAATACAAAATAATAAATACAAACAAATAATAAATAATATAAATACAAATACAAATACAAAATATAATAACAATACAAATTTGGCAGGTATATTATAATCAGTATCACCACACTACCATTATTATCATTATATAAAAAAAATCATTATGATGACTATCACCACACAATTATTATTATCATCATCATCACCACCCACTAATATCATCATGTTATCAGCATCATTAGCCATTATTATCATAATCATCCATTATTATCATCAGCATCACCTATTAGCATCATCAGCACTCCATTATTACCATTATCATAACCATTATCATCATCGGTATCAACCATTACTATCATTATCCTTGCTACAACCATAGAGAAAATCCAAATTAACAACTGGCCAATCAGAACACAGAACAGGGATTCACGCTGTCCTACAAGCACATGCATTGTCCCATAAACATGTGTTCACGTATGTTGACACTTATTGCTTTGTGGGGCTTTAGCAACAATATCGAAGTGAACGTGGCTAATACCAGAAAGGTCCTATAAAATATCATCATCATCATCATCACCATCATCACCATCATCATCCCAATCAACATTGTCACTATTTATCAACATTTTTGTTATTCTGATCATCATCTTTGGTAAAACTGCTATATATCCTTCTTCTTATAACACTTTGACCGCCAGGGGTTTGAGTAAATAGTAAGCCACCGCCGGAATTTTTATCAAATTTTAACACTTTTTCGAAGCTCATTTAGAGTGCGTATGTGATCAGATTGACATGTAGTGAATACTACAAGAACTACAAACATTTTAGCTTTACAATACTACCAAACACTTTATTCTAATCACAATCTGTGACCCGTAACAGTACAATGAAAATGACTCACTTTTGAAGATTTACACAATTTTGCACAACGAACCTGAGATAATCGGAATTTCATGAAAGTAAATCCAGGGAACTGTTCCCTGGTAAATCAATACCGCTCTATGCTAATGTAAACAAACTAATAGTGAAATACTGATGGTCCAGACTGAATACAGTGTTCAAAATTGTTAGTACATGTCGATAATTACAACATCTATCGGATTCCGTCAAAAAACCTGAAAACACAGAGATCTCCGCGTTTGGCAGTCAAGCGGTGCGTTACCAAATACTGAGATCTCTGTGTTTGGTGGGCAGAGTGTATGTTATCAACATAAGTTATTACCACCGAAGATGGTAAAGTACAGTACCTGGACGCAAGAAGGATGAGGTCAGCTGGAAACACTTCATCCCTCTCAACCTTGACAATGTCACCGACACACACCTAAATAAAAATAAAGAAATAACAATTAAGATCACAAAATATTAAGCAACTGTTGTTTGCATACTTAGTTAGGTAAGATAAAATAAAGAATTGGGAAGGCAACTTCAACCAAATATCCTAATTATCATATCACTTTCTGGATTTTTTTAAACAAAATATCTGCAAGTCAGAAAAAAACTGAATGTTTTTCAATTTGCCTCATTGGAAATTCCTAGTATATTTGATACTTTTACTGTATAAAGAAGCAATTCAATATTAAAATTGAATTTTGTATTTCTTCAAATTTTAGCAGTGTTTAAATATCCAAGAATTATATGACATAATACAATATAATAATAATATACCGTAATTACAGAAATTTATACAACGCTCTTGCCAAGGAAATAAAAGTATATAAAAAAAGATAACAATTGGCAATCAAAAATGACACCAGATGAAATAGACATCAGACAAAAACAGAAGATTTTGTGTGGCAGTGAGATCATACTGAGGGAACAATGTTAAGTTATATAATTAACATTAGATCTACCTATGGAACAATATAAATATTCATTAGCAAGAATGGTCCACCCAGACAAAGCTGATTATTTAGGACAACTCAATAACAATGCAATATGAAATTAACATAAAGCTCTCTCCATGCTAATTAAATTTTATATGATAAATATGTGTGATGTGCCCATATATATGGGCATGATGTCTATTACATCCATATATGTGTATATTAAAGGTATTTGCCACAAAGAATGTGATAGTTAGTGTGTACAGATCTTTATTTAACAAAACCTTATTAGAAAAAAAAAGCAAATTTTTCTAAATAAGAAATTAAAATAGAATATTATTATTTAGGCCTAAACCCTGTGAAGACAAATTTTCTTTGACAAAAAATGGTTGTATGCCCATATATAGTCATGATGTGCTTATATATGGTCATGATGTGATGTCATCATGACCATATTTAGGCATGTCACATGTTTTGGGTTGTTTGGACAGGGTTTAAGGAAGTAATTAGTAAACACACTCACATCCTGCCATGCCCGCTTCATCCATTTCTGACCTCTGTAAACTGAAAAGGTCAAAAAGAAAAATTATTTCAATAATTAATAATAATATATCACATCGGTAATAAATTATAAATTACAAGAAGTGGCATCATGAAATGTAACTAGGGAAATAGAGATAATATATTAGCATTATACTAAACTTACAACATGGAATATTGACTAAATCAGATTTAGTGGTTATAATTCTGTTCAAATTATTTTCAGGATTGATCTACTGTAACAAGCCAAATATAACATTTGAGTTACAATAGTATTAATGACAGCGATAATCATCAATATTAATACTTAGAAGAATATTACGAAAATAACTACCAATAAAAAAGTTATAATTAACTACAAGAGCATAATATTAATAATATAATAACTATATGATTATATATATATAGTTATATATAATGCTTTTCCAAAATGATCAAGGTACTTCGCAATGACTAAAACCACCTAATACTGTATCTTATCTTTTAACTTACAATTTAACAGAATCATTTTTACAATACTCTAGGTAAGGTGAGACTCTTTTCATACCTTGTTTTGCAAAATTATTTTTTTTAAAGATCGTCAGACAAGGGCAGAAAAAAATAAAAAATAAAATTATATTCCTTATTTAGCAAATAGCTCTGCCAAAAACATTCAGAGGAAAAAATAGAAATACAATTTTATTGGTGATCCCCCTTTTGGGAGGTAAAAAAAAGAAAAAAAAAAGAAAAAAAGAGAGAAAAAGAAAAAAATGATAGCCCAGAATGCCTCAAATGTTATGTTTGGGCGTCTAGAACACAAAAATTTTGCGGGGGCATGCCCCGGACCCCCTACGACAGTGTTGTCTCAATCGGCCCAACTGTATAAAAATGAACCAAAAGTAAACGAATGGTATTTGGTAAGTCCATATCTTAATGGAACAGTGCTACAGTATTGAAAATAAAAAGAACCCAAATTATTTATAGTAAATTCCAAATATAGTATTAACCGTACAGTACTTGTATTTAAAATCTCTGTTTTACAATAAGTTTAAAAGCTTTTTTTTTTTTATATCATATGCTATATTAATGTATCTTTATACCACTATAGATCTAAAAAAAATCCTTCAATGTGGACTTTATATGAGGTGTGAGATTTGATATTTATGAACAAGGCTTAAATTATGAGGTGCAATATTATTTTAACATAAACCATATTGGACAGAGTCTAGTTACTGACTATGACTCAAGCGTGCATTTATCACTGAAATCAATAGCTTCGGCTAATGTTAATGGAAGCGTAAATTATACTCTAGACCGCCATATATGGGCATGCTGTGAATACATTAAAACTACTATGCCATTGAATTAAAGACTTTGCTTGCATGTTCTGCGCCAGAACATGTATGCATAGCCCTCGGCAAATTTCACATAGTCTCGCAACGTGTCATGCTTGTATTGTTTGAGACCTGATCTAGTAGAAGCTAATTATGAGATGAGAAAAATCATCTCATAAATGTTCATTAGGCTCTGTCCAGACTATCAAATTTTATTTGACAAAAACATGTGACATGCCTAAATATGGTAATGATGACATCACATCATGACCATATATAGGCACACAGTTACTATAAATGGGCATACAGCAGTTATTTTGTCAAAGAAATGTTGAAAGTGCTGACAAGGCTTAACATACAAGTCCAATGTTGGCTAGGTAGGCATAAATTTGTTTTGATCATGCGAAAGCTTTTAGATGTCGTCGTTAGTACTACATAAGCTCAAACGAGTTCCATGGTGGTGGGCCTTGCAATGATTTTGACTTTAATTTAGATAATGATGATTTTGATGAAGCAAAATCATGTATATGAATTTTTTTAGAAAAATACATTTTTTTTTACCAAGAAGCACAAAATATGTGTTTAAAATTGTGCCTTATCATAGATTTTTACCAAAACTACAACCCACAATTTTATAATATATATATATATATATTATCAATAACTATTTCGTGATTGAGACACAAAAAAATATAAGTTGGCAACTAGTAACACTATTTAAAAATATATTGTTGCTTTATAATATTGTACTGTATTTTAAAATAAAATATAATAAATATCTAAAGCCAGTACATAAACAATTTTATGGTTTCAACATCAATAAACCAAAATAGTTAATCCTAAATGCCCCTGTCAATTTTTGTAAACAAAACATTTTGGTAAGTTTACATTAACAATGAGTCATAAAAAATTTAAATTAAGGTACATAGAAATTACTGGATCAAAAAAGCAAGCAGTGAATATTATAATTTTTTTTAAATTAATACGTCATCAGTCACCGATTTGAGTGCAAATAAGCTCAACAAAATTTCAATAAATGGAAGCGTTCTTGTGAAGCATGAAATCTTGTAGAAACCCGGTAGTGTTCGATTACAGTGTATACTGTAGCAAGCAAAGGGAAATTAACGAAAACATGTTATCTTAAACTCTGTAAACATTCTGATGTGCAATATTATGAATCAGGTGATATATCAATCAACTGTAAAGTTGTAAACAAGTACAATATACTGAGAAAAACGCATCCTGATAATAAAGGGAAAATCCGAGCGTATTTATTTATTTACATGGTGAACATAAGCCTTTGAAACAGCAGCACACATGAGTGGTGCACTTAACTTCTATTGAGTACTTGTATGATTTTGTTCAAATAAAGCTTTGTAAACAGATGATAAAGGCAATCATTCATTTACGATGTCCGGGGTAGGAGATTGTAAAGGCATCAATGGAGCACTGACCTACTGATAGTGTAGTTTCTTTGATATTATTTATTCTGGGCTTATGCACAAGAAACTATGGTGTAACAAAGGGTCATCAAAATGCTAAGGCAAGATTTTTTTTTATACCTTGTATCGCAAACTTTATTTTTTAAAGATCATCAGAGAAGGACGGAAAAAAACAAATTTTGTTCTGCCAAAAATATCCAGACGAAGGAAAATAAAAATGTTATTGGTGAATGTAAACACATACAGTAGTAATGGGATGGTTACATGCTTTAAATTTATATAATTAGGAATAGAAATAAGCAATACTTATTTTTGGTGATTTTAAGGCAGCGGCAGCCGTAATTAATATAAATAAAAAGTTTCATTTTTTTCTAAAATTTCCATTTTTTGTGGTGGCGGGTGTGTTAATTAGGCAAAAATCAAATTTTATTTTAATTCGAAATCATCATTTTTGGTGGGCAGCGGGTTCGCTAAACTGTATAAATACAGTATAAATATATTACATTATAAAGTATTATTATATAATATTATTACAGTTATTATTTTCATCTATTGTATTGTAAGGCGAGTCTAGTGGCCAAGCGGTAAGACAGGGCTGCCGCTAGCTACAGTCTTAACATCGGCGCTGGTTCCAGCCGCTCCTCGCTTATGGTTCGGTTGGTAGAACCAAGTCTTCTCGAATAAGGACTTAAAATGGAGGTCCAGTGTATACATCTGGCTCGTGTGCACTTTAAAGAACCCATTGCCTCTTTTGGAGGAGTAGGGAGTTACCCCGATGTTCATTTCAGCCCCTGTCGTTGTGGAATGATGTGAACATGTATCTACCTAGAAGCGCCTCTTTACGGCTGCTAGATAGTCACGGACCACGCCCATTTGCAATTCAGCACAATGACACTGCAAGTTATGGGTTATTCTCCTACCTTTACCCTTTACCTTTACCCTATTGTATATATTATATCTATTAAAAGGGAACTAGGTTACAGTGGGCGGAGGTGGGCTGGGCCACAGAGCCTTGAAGATTTGACCTAGTCTATTGCTAATTTCATGGCCCTCCACCCACCCTTAGTAACCCACATTTACCAATGTTATCACTCGCCCAGCCTCAAAACATCTATTATCCACCCTTAGTTTTCTACAGCTACAACCCTGTCTTACTGTAATAGTCTAATACAAGTAAAAATAAATAAAATACAATAATAAATCTGGATATCATAATAGGATAAAAATCTGAAATCATTAATTCAGAAAAAAAAAATGTATCAGATATGCTTGGAATTTCTGCTGAACTTGAATTGAACAAGACTGTATGCAAGGCCTATATGCTTACACATAATATGCCAACATACTGTAAATCACGTATGCCCAGGCTTGTACTACAAGGTTGTTTGATAATACTGAGAAAGCGAAAGTGAGAAATCATTCCAAGCCAAGTCATAGTTTCTATATTTCTATATTTATAGCAGTACTAAACCATACATACAGTTTTTAAATGAGGCATGTTGTGGCAAAATGGCTAAGTTGTAGCAAAAATTAAAATTCAAGTTATTGGTATTTTCCTGAGTATGTGATCTTTAAAATAAGGGGTCATTCATTCAAATTGGACATTTCAAACCTAAGTTATTGGAAAGTGAAAGTACAGTACTCTCAGAGTCAAGATAAACATGATTTTGAGTTAATGCCTTTCAAAGTTATTTGTGCATACATTGTTAATGGAATGAACTATCAAAATAGCATTAAATAAACCATTTGTTGACCACTTCAAGAACTAATACTTTGGGACATGATTATTAAGACATTAAACTGTTGATCTATAGTGAAAAACAAAGTTAGATTTTTTGGCAATTTTTTGAGCTCCCTTACTTAATACTGGCCTGTGCGACAATTCTTAACGATTTCACCACAACATGCCTCAAATGGTCAAAATGTCACAAATACGTTGATGTAAATTCCTTTATCTAATGTTAAACTGCACTTAAATTCTTATTAAAAACAGCAAATCTTACTACACCTATAGAAATTATATTCTAACACAAATTATGATGAGAAGAGTAAAACCGCTACATTCTAGTCAAGATCGCTAAACTATCTGACAAAGGGTCTGATCTGACACCTCAAAATATAAGATGAAGCCCTAGCGGACATTCTGGCATTATAATAATTTTTATTATTTATTAATATATATTTAAAAAAAATTAAATTTAGATATTTGAGTTCTTACCTTGTACTTTCCTGTTGTTAACTTCCACATCAGCATTGTGTCTTTTCTGAAAGCAAAGAGAACATTTTTAATAAATTTGTTAACATTTCCAAGAATATATTATTTCTACATCAGTGGCTATTGGAGTAAATAATAGAGGTTGTTCAGGTAGTTAAAACTAAACCCATAAAAGCGATTTCAATATGTTCCGTAAACATAAGCTTTAGATAGTAGTCCATAATGATTTATATAACACATCAGGTAAAGGTACTGCAAGGTACAGTAGACCTGCATTCATTACTGAATGTAGGGGAATGAGCTGTTAGCCCATAGAAGCCTTAGCATTGTGTGTTAGGGCTGTCTCTTATACACATCTAGATGTGTATAAGAGACAGGTGTATACATCTGGCTCGTGTGCACTTTAAAGAACCCATTGCATCTTTCGGAAGTGTAGGGGGTTACCCCAATGTTATGGGTAATTTCAGACCCTGTCGTTGTGGAATAATGTGAACATGTAGCTACCATGTAGCGCCTCTTTGCAGCTGCTAGGTAGTCACGGACCACACCCATACGCAATTCAGCCCAATGACGTTGCAAGTTATGGGTTATTCTCCTACCTTTACTTTTTTTTTTACCTTTCCCCCACTACAACAACTCATCCATTTATATCATTAACAAGTCTGAATCAAGTTTTTCCCAAGGTTATAGTCATATTATCTATTTTTGAAATAAGCATTAAATAATTGTGTTAGTGAAAAGATTTATCTGGATCTCTATATTGTATTTGTTAAGATTCTTTTTGATGATCCAAAAATATTTGAGATAATTGTAAAAATACTGTTAGTTTTTACAATATCATGTCCTATTGTAACTCATCAACGAAACTAAGACTTCAATGTCAGATCCTTGACATAAAGTAGGAGGACGGAGCAAGACCAATCACATCACTTCTCTACCTGTCTCTCATACACATCT